GTCCGGGGGTGCGGCGGTGTCGTGCTGACAGCTGTTAGCTGCGCACCCCCCGTGTACAGGCGGTCCAGTGCGCGGTTTGGGTGGAGTAGGTAAGTGCATGATCATCTCACGGAATTCTAATTTGGCACCTAATGCTCAATGGTGGTGCCAAACGAAGCTCTACCGAACCCAGCAACTTTAGAAAACAAAGCAATTTCAGCCTCTTTTCAGTTGCTTACTGATTCTTACTTATTAGCAAAGCATCGTGTGAAGAAAACAATACTCCCTCTCTCGTCTGGCGCCCAACCTCTCTGGACTGGGGTCGAAACTCGTAGGGGCTAGGCTCTGCGGCTGTAGTAAAAAATGATCCGGATTTGGCAGACTTACGTAGATAGAGCCGCAATATGGAGTGCCAGGCACTGTAATTCCAAGATATTTAATTATTTTCAGGAGGTCGGTTTTGGAATGCGAATCCTTCTGGTTGCCTGCAAAATGGCGACCTTTAAAAATTATTTTCCTACTGATTTCTGGTGTATTGTATAGAAGACATGCAGAATAGTTAATAACGCATACTCAAGTTGAAGCAAATTTTACCTTTTTCATACTTTCCGCTCACAGAAAGAGTAACTCTCGTTCTCAAAAAGTGTATAATAAGTGATGTTTCAAGAAGGCAAAGTGTTTATTCCACTAGTTCCATATCTGTGCGTTGAACAGTTACATAGGGGAATGTATGATTTTACTAAAGTGGGAAGTTAACACGGCAAAGAAGACACGATCGCTGGAAAAAGAGCTTAATTAGTCCAGCGATCGTGCGTATTTTCGCTTCAATCAACGAAAGGGTACAGCTTGTAGGTTGAGGACCTCAAACGCAGGTTTAACCGCTGGTTGGATGCGAAACCCCAATAGTATAAAAAACAACGAGTCGTGGTCTATTTTTCGTTGTTTTCCCGCACTTGAAATTGATTGGTTGCCAGACTACTTGCGGCGCGTTACTAGGGCCGCAAATGCGTGCGCTCACGGCTATCGGAAAATCGATCGGACGTTGTGCTGAGATGCCCGGGCACGCTATCGCACGCCACTTCCTCCACTCTCACGTTGCCGAGCTTTCGTGTCTCTCCCATGACGTTGCTGTTCGCCTATACTCTGTAAATATTATTTCTGTTATTTCTTTCGGCAAGTTCAAGCTTGTGTCGAGGAGTAAACGTTACAGGCGCATAAAGAAAGCGGTTCCCGAAGTGTTAGGCAAAATTGAAGAGCGTTGGGATGAGATTTTTGCGTCTGACGCATCTTCCTCGGCTTGGCGTTTGATTCCGACTCCCAGACCGGTAAGCAATGACCTAACGACAATGTGTTGCCCAGGCAACAGTGGCAGATCTCGAAAACGGCGACGAGGCCAATAAATTGTGAGCCATTCAAAAGCCACTAGGATACACCTGCGACGGCTTCTAAAGCTGTCGAGGGAAAATTCCGCCGCCTTGCATCGGCTAGAGAACCGAATTGGTGAAACTCTGCAGCTATTAGAGTTCCTTCTTCGAACCCAAAATCCCACAGGCCTCCCAACAGCTGTTCAAGGGCCACTTTTTAAGCAAATGGTAACCTTGGTAGCCCTGAATGATTTCACCCAGGCAATTTCCCGCAAAGAATTTCGCCAGCAGGTGGTAAGTGACATTTTACAGTACAGTTGCATCACCCGATTGCTCACTTACTCTCATTAGAAGGAGACTGTATGAGCACCTTCGCCGATCGTATATGCAATGCCCTTTTCTCAGACCAGATAAGCTACCACCTGACCTATTACGGGGGTCAGCAAGGGAAGAAAGCTTTCTTCTTCAACTCGAACGTCTACGTTTTTTTGTCGGAAAGACATGCTACCTTCTCATAAAACATGATACTCGGAGGTT